AACATTGACTTACAGTATAAAAACATTGAGTTGTGTTGCTAATTAGGGCACTATAATGTCTCTGCTGTCTGCTTATGTTGCCAAATTAGCATTTAACTTTCTTTTCTCTTGATTTAATATAATTTTCTATACATTAAGAGTTCCTTTTCGGGTACCTAATAATTGTGATATTGTTTGACTTGAGTTTATGGATTTTTAATTCTTTTCATTTATTAGCTAAAATCAGTTGTTTTAGGATTTTAATCTCTTGCAATACCTATAACTGTGCCTATAACTGTGTATCTATAACTGTGTATGACATGATATGCAATTTTTACAGTCTTTACTATAACTATACCATAAACAATGTATGTGTGTTATTTATTGTTTTAGAGTTTTATAGTAAATTAGTTTACACAATATCTTTTCTTCAATGAGTTCTCCACTTGTCATGTTGCTTAGGCCTATTTTAGGCCCTATAAAAAATAATTCCTATGTAAAGCTGTAGGCATACTAATGCCAATAATAGATAATTCTTTATTTATGATGATGTAACTAATAATGCTATTGTAAGTGTGAGAGGAGGTTAGGAGGCAGAGAATGAATGATTCATATTGCATGGTGGAAACATAGAATTTTTATTTTCTTCTTGCTTGCAGTCTTGAAGCCACAGGCCCTAAACTTGTGATAAGGTTAATTGATTTGTTTATGATCCATTTATATTAAGTTCCATTACAAACTTGTTGTAATATAGCTGTTTAGATATTTCAACAGTTATGAAAATGGGAAAGAATGGCTTGATAAAAAAAATTATTTTCTTCTTTCTTGCAGTTGAGGCAACTCCTAAGCTGTAAATAAGTTATGAACATGAAATAATATACATAAATACAATCTTTTTCCATATGTTATTTTCAAGTAATATTATAAACACAGATAGGAGTTAAAAAATAAAAAAAAATCCGGTAATTAATAATTTTTGGCCCGACCCGATTTTGGCCCGAAACCCGAGGACCAAAATTATTGGCCCGACCCGACCCGACCCGAACCAAAAAAGTCTGACCCGCAGACCCCTAATTCCAGGATATACATAGACGGCATCACGACCTATGATTGCAAGGAAAATGAAAGATTGCTGCAGATTTCTGGAGAGAGTTGATAAAACCAAACACTAATCAATTTTTAATTATTTTAGGGATTAACGGCCGCCATTTTTAAATGACCTAATCAAACTCGACCATTGACAAACTGGGATTATATATCGTATTCAAGCACTTGTAAGCCAAATTTCATTAAAATCGGTTTAGGCGTTTTGGTATTACAGTATAACCAATTCATAGCGACCCAGCACCCTCTTACGAGCGCCATATTGATGACGTCATTACGGGCGACCAAGGTCCTTAAAAATTGGGGTCCGAGCGGTTTTACATTCTTGGTCTCATATATTATGTTCACCCTAAGTCGCAGGATCACAGCCAGAACGGAAATATTTTTCTGCTACTCATACTCACTTAGCTGCCAGCGTCAAGTCAAGACGACGATGGAGAAGAACGAGTTAAAGACCTTAACCATTCCATGGATGGTGATGATGCATCAGTAGCTGATGAACAATATGACACGTGGACGTGATGGTTAAAGAGGCGAAACTACCAGTTTCTTGGTTAATTTTCCTCACAACTTTAACATGTGACACAGACTCATGGTCAGTTTTGTAATAATTGATATTAACTGGATTATTTTACCTTAATTAATTTGTCATATTTAGTGTTTCATTAAAAAATTAGTCTTTTTCTAATAAACTGTTGGTTGTATTGCTTTTATTATGTTCTTTTTCGATTCTGCATCCTAAGAAACATAGAAAACAACACCTCACTTGCTTGGATCCCATAAATAAAATTTTTCTCAACATCACTACCCCCATAAACTTTAACCCCCATAAAATGGTACTTCCACCCCCACAATCACTAGGGACTCTTCAGATTTCAAAACCTAATGGTAATTACTACGTTTCCTGCAAGTTTCATGAATGGACTAATTTTTATGTTTTCTTAGGTGAGTTTTACCTGTACTAAAATACAATGGATTATCTTTAAATCATCAGCTGTTTTAGTAATTTAAAAAATTCTAAACAGGCTAAAGAAAAATTTTAGATAAAAGAACTGAACATACTCCCAGCCTTGAAGTGTCCTCACTTCAACAGTTAGTTTAGAACAAAACACATTAGGGGTACCTAACACAAAAGTTTGTTGTAGGCCGGCTATAGCATCTGTTTGCATTTTTCTACTTCTCCTTTTCAACCTATACCATCTTTGCTGGGAAACACCTTAAAAACTGTTGCTGGAGACCACCGAAGTCCTAGCTCTTTGAAATGTTGAGCATCAGAGTTTTGAAGGAACTTTGGTATTTTATGATGAGATTGAGTAACAGAAGTGAACAAGTCTTGACAGTTCATAACACATTTCTTCAATTCAACGCACTCTTGTTTCAATAATTCAACTAGGTGAGATTGGAGGATGAGCGCTTCCTCTGTAGTTTGTGATGAAGAGTAGTTATTGCTCAGAGCTCCATCGGAAGATACAACCACTTGACTGGATTGCTTGACTGTCTTTACAGTAGTGGTTTCATTCTCGGTTGTGTTAGCGGCGGCACTGTCTGTTGGTTTAACAGCAACACGATCGGTAGGATGGGTGGTATCATTATCGGTAGGATGAATAACAGTATTGTCTCTTGGGATGACAGCAATGTTGGTAGGTTGGATGGCAGCACTATCACTTGTCAAGGTAGTGGAGCTCACTGTTGTATCTGTATTCGTTGGTTGATCAGCACTGTCACTTGTCAAGGTAGTTGAGCTCACTGTTGTATCTGTATTCGTTGGTTGAGGTTTTGTCACTGTCTTTGTGGTATTTCTAATCATCGTGTTTGCGAACTTAGGTATTGTGATTGTCACTGGCCTCTTTATTGTGATGAGTTTTGTTCCAGGTTGTATAATGTCGTTGCCTTTGATTTGAAACTGACTTGATGAGTTCGGTTTGATTACATGCACTGCAGTAGTTCTATGAGGTTGAGCTGAACTGCAATTAACCTTGGCCAAATAAGGGTTAGAACCAATTTTTGAAAGCAGCACTTTAATGTAGCTGGTGATGTGGATGAATAGTTCACTGATTTGGTCTTCATCTTCAGCTAAAGTTTCAATGTTCAAATCATCTTCACTTGATGTACTTACAATTCGATAAAAATAAGAATCAAAGTCTTCTTCCTTCTTCTTGGTTTCTTGCATGAGAGTCTTTAAGGCTTCGTGTTGCACAACTGTTAATGTTTCTTTTTGTTCAACATGTTGATCTATGATGTTTCTTATTTTGTTCATATGATTTTTAATAAAAGATGTGTGTCGTGTATAAGTCTCAATTTTTAAATCACTATTTGGAGATGCCATTGTACAAAGATGAGATAAATGTAAAAAATTCACAAAGTGTAAATGAGTGAGTGAAGAGTTCCAATGTGGAAATAAGAGTTCAAATGGGTAAGAGTTCAGAGGTACAGAAAACAATGGGTAAAATGAAGAAATATTAGTATAAGAAGAGTTTAGTGGATGTGTGTAATATTCCAAATCGCTCAAGTAATATCCGGCTCGAAGGACCATTAAATAATGTGGAGTGTTTGAGTAAATTAATGAAAAATTAAGAGAGAAAAAATAAAAGTCATGTTTAAAAGAAGAACAGAAAGGAATGATGTTTATTTATATAATACAATGGATTATCTTTAAATCATCAGCTGTTTTAGTAATTTAAAAAATTCTAAACAGGCTAAAGAAAAATTTTAAATAAAAGAACTGAACAGATTAGTCTTGCCACAAAAATACCTACTTACTTACTTACTTTCCGTGTCCGGAAATCAGACTTCGCTTTTCCAAAAATTAGCTACCGATATGGCTTTGTCATTTGCATGTAAAAGATCAACTAATTTGCAAGACTGATCTAGGCGTGGGCAGATCAGCAGATGGCCAGGATCCTGAACAGCACCACACGCGCACAAGATGTTTTCTTCGTCTGGTAAGAGACCCCATTTCTGCATGTTTGTCTTGCATTTTGGTACCTCGACCCTAATTCGATTTAGGGTCTTCCACACCGTGTAATGAAGGCCTCCACCAGGAGCCAGTTCCTCCCTGGCTGGTATGGGAGGGTTAGTCAACGTAGCCTCCCACCTTGCCACCCGATTGCTTGAGAGTGATCCATCCAGGACTCGTGTCCGTGATAAAAAGCTCTTTCTGGACCGAAGCCGTCGCTCTGCAGGTTGGTGGCCGTGTAATGGGTGACGAGGGTCTGCCTCTTGCTTAGTCCTTTCTACGTCGGCAGCGACATCACGTCGGATTGATGGAGGGGCGATCCCTAGGATAGGATAGAGTTTGTGTACAGGGGTTGGTTTCAAACACCCAGTTACAATCCGAGCCATGTCATTGACTGCAATGTCAACCTTTTTTACATGTGACGATGCATTACATACTGGTGCATCGTACTCCGCAGCCGACACACTGAGCGCTAAAGCTGAGGTTCTGAGTTCATTAGGGTTAGCACCCCAGCATCTGCTGGTGAGCTTCCTGATAATATTATTCCTCGCTGAGACTTTACCTCTTGTCGCAATACAATGCGCCTTAAATGTCAGTGTGCGGTCCAGTATGACACCAGGGTATTTGGGTGTAGGACAATGCTGAAGACGGTCTCCCCGCCACCTCACATTCAACTCACTGCCGCTTCTCTATTGTTTAGATGAAAGGCACAAACTTGGGTCTTAGCAGGGTTCGGCTTGAGGTGATTTGCGTCATAGTACTGGGAAAGTTCATTAGAGTCATAGTCAGCTTCTGTTCTACCTCTTCAATATTCCTACCTAGTGCCGCCACCGCCGTATCATCAGCATATATATACTGACGTGTAGCGTTTGGCAACGGTTGATCGTTACATCGTAACATATGCCACAAAAATGTTCGTATACAACATTAATAAGTTTCAACCATTTGTTTGTTTTTATAGTGCACATTCGGCCAAGAACGTATGGACAGAAGAACAAGAGGATGAGTTACGACATCTTGCTGCCGAATACGAGGAACCCCCTGCAAAAGAAGAACCAGGTAAAATAACAATTTTCTTCATATTATATTCATCTTGCTAGGATTGGTTATATATTGGGGTCTGCGGTACAGTAGACTCTCAGTAATCTGGCAGATATAGGACCGTGATAATGCCGGATTAGTGAAAATGCTGGATTACTGGAATGTTATCGATATACACTGCAACAAGTGCAAAACACGTCACCGAGGATCGCAGGAACGGAAACTGCAACTGACACGATCGGGCATGACGACGATGACGTTTCCATGACCCCGGGAGGCTATGATAATGTCCAAACAGCCGCGAGAGATGTTCATGATTTTGCCACAATCGCGTAAGACGACGTCAACGTTTCCGTGACCCCGGGAGGCAATGATAATATCTAAACGGCCGCGAGAGATGTTCATTGCGATCCTCAACTGTCTAAAGGCGCCGGATTATTGGAGTGCCGGAGTGGCGAAGTGCCGTATTAGAGAGGGTCTACTGCACAGACAATTTAAGCTTCGTATGGTTCGGTACGTTACAATGAAAAAGGCAAATACCCCCGCCGCAGCAAACCTGCAGACTAAGCAAATTTCAACTTGTCTGATTACATTTTTACTAAAATATTTCCATAAATAAGAGATATTTATTCCCTATTTAAATAACATTAGATTTAACGAGTGCTTAGGTTTGCTGCTACAGGGAAGGTAAAAAGTGTTTTTGACCATACGTCAATAGTATAGGATGAAATAAATAAATTTGCCAAATTTTATTAATATATATTCATAAATAAATAAACTACTACAATTTTCATTTTCTCTGTGACTGTTAAGCATACAACAGCACTTCAACATACTAAATTATTTATCTTTTTAAGCTCTAAAAAAACGGTTTAAAAATAAATTGCAAAATGTTTGGTTTTTAGGGTCAAAAAATGGGAAAACCCCATTTTTACCCTATAAAACCTTCCATAAACCCCCGTTTCCATGGTCCGATTATGCTGGATCGCGAACTCGTTTGAATAACCGTAAGTTTACACGTTTGTACCAAATTTCATCAAAATCGGATAATTTTTGCTTGAGTTATCGCGCTAACGGACACTCACACACACATATAGGTATATATATATATATATATATGAATTTGAACAGATGGTGTTTTTGGCCTCTAGGGACCTCAAAATTAAAAATTAAATCAGTTCTGGGTCCAGGTCTTACCATGAGTACAATGGTAATAGCTTATTCCCTATATGGGAAATTCGCTAAAAGGAGTTACGAAGAAATAAAACTCCATAAAGATCATGTGGTTTTTTCTTACCAATAATGTTAAGATGATCGGTTTAATACAAAAACAAAATGTTGTTTGTATACTACTTCTCCAAAACTATTACTATTCGATTGAAACTCAAGTAGTTCAAAAGCATCGAGCCGAGCTCGAGTAGTTAACTACTCATATAACTTCTCAAACGTTTTGAGTACTCGCACACCCCTTGTTTTAAGGCATGTGAGATAATATGACTAAAATTGAGAAAAGTACCACTAAACTAGGAACATTAAGTTAAGTTTGAATTAAAGCTAAAAACACGTAGTTCGGGTAACCGGAGTTTTTTTAACTCGGGAACTCGCTAACCCTGTGTTAATGAAGTGATCCGTCATAATGAAGTGAAAATAGGTCGACAATGAATGGTGGTGTATACTTATCTTTATCTAACACTATTTTGAGATTATGGTGTTAGTTTGTAAATGCACAATGTTAAAATGGGTTGAAAATAAAGTCATAAAAAGTCTTCATAAATTTAGAACGGATCAAGATTTTTTAAAACTAATTGCGGCATTGTAATCAGCGTAAAATTATAGTTTGAAATAATGGGTCACAACCCTACCCTTAAAAAAAAACCTTTGTATCCAATATGGCGGATCCAAGATGGCAGCCAAAAATGCATACCCAGTCAAGATGAAGTACTTACCACTCTACAATGATCTGACGTGGTCCGGAGTTGATATCTTAAGAAATGTAGAAAAAAGAAGGGGGGGGGAACTCATTTAAAACTCACCCTGTATACTGTTATTTTAATGATTATTATTATCATGTTCATTTATTATATGCTTGGTTACATAAATATTACTCTACATGTGTGCAAATACATAGTCCATTTGGATAATTTATTGAATACATATCAACCAGTTACTAATTTTTCAATGGCAATAAGTTATTTGTTTTACACAAATTGATAGTTTTTGTTTATCAACCCGGGTATTTCAAATCTCTATTTTCAGTTGGTGTTTTAAAAACTCAAGTCCACATATCGGAAAACTGTAGTTGAGATTAAATATTAATCGTGTAATTTGTCTTTATTTTTTAGACGCAGTCTCTTGGATCATGCAGAATATGATAAACAAGTCAAGAAGCCGAAGAGCTGTTGTAAAGAAACTAAAAGAGCTTTACCTCTTTGTAGGCAATATGGTAGGTGACTTTTCCTTAAAAGTTAAAGTCTTATGCCTTTAATTTATAGACCCAAGAAGGTTTTAAGAGACGGTTTACAAGCTTGATTGTACAATAACCTGAGTGTAAAATCCAGTAATAACTGGTATTTGTGCTTCATTTTCAAAAATCACCTCCAAGAGCTCAGGTTTACCAAAGCCAAAGAGTAAACTGAACTGATAAACCTTTGCTTAAAAATTCATTAGTCCAATTACAGATAATCACACATCAAAAAGAAGAACTCTGTGGGTTCACAAGACAATTTTGAGTGAAGAAACAATTGTTCTGTTGTGAAAAAACAGAAATTTAGATCCATTTTGCATATTGGGTCTGATGATCGGAGTGTCCAATCAAAATCTTATCTTACCCTCTTGTGAATAAACATCCAAGTGTAGATATAAGTTATATATTTCATTTGACATATTTTTATCTACCAAAATGTTTTTTTGTTCAGAAACCAAGATCCAAGAAACTAAAAGAAATGAGTGAAGATGAAGTTAATGAATTAAGAGGTCTTTTTGAATTCTACAAAGAGAACCAAGGTAAGTCCAACAGGAATTCAAAAACCCTCACATGTTAAAAACATAATGTTCATAAAAACTTGTTGCTTGAATTCAAGCATTTGTATTAAGATTCTTAGAGTCGTTGTAACTTGTAACAAATTGAATTTAAATACGTTATATGTAGGGATGGACGAGATTGTATTTTTAGTTCGAGACGAGACGAGACGAGATTTTTTATTTCTCATAAAATTTCGAGACGAGATCGAGACGGGATTTCCCTTCTCATACACAACGGGAAATGCACGTTCAAAATTTTTACCTGATTTTGTAACATTGTTAGATGACTATTTAAATACAAAAATAATGATAATAGGCAAGAATATTTACAACCTTTTATTAAAAAACATCAGCATAACATTTTTTTATTAATCACGCCTAACTTATTAAAAATGCCTACGATTAGGAAACATAGTGATATCAGTTAGGATAGAGTTCAACTTATCCTAAAATAAAATAAATCATAAAATAAAAGCAATATTAATTTTTATAAAATAATTACTTGTTTTGACTTTTTATAGTAATAAAACATTCCTCACACTGCTTACACTTAACAAAACTTCTCAAATGTTATTAAAGTAATATTATTAAAATAATTAAAGTAATATTTACATTTAAAGAATTAGTTAAATAAGAACGCCTTCGCAAAGGAAACGCAACTACAACACGCTCCTGTATTGCGGGTATTGCATTGACTTTCTGCAGGCGTTTTTAATTTTTGTTTATTCTCGTCTCGATAAAAATCTCGGCCAAAAAGAAATCTCGTCTCGTGTAACGAGATTTAAAATTTCCCGAAATTTCGAGACTTGACCATCCCTAGTTATATGAAGGGGTTTGCGGGTTCCCAAATTTTTCGGGTTGGGTCGGGCCAGTGGAAGACCCGAGAAACTGGCTCTGGTCAGAGATATATTTGGACCAAGATTGGATCGGTCCAAGAAAAATAATAACTTCTTGATCAGCATCATACATGTTATTAAATTACCTAATTAAGAGTAATTACTAGTGTTTTTAGACGTATATCTTTTTGTTTTTCAAAAAAATAATAGGCCTATCAAATGATAATATTTTCAAAGAAACACACTTACATTATACAGGGTGTCTAGTAGTCGGGAAAACCAGGAAAGTTGGGAATTAGTATTGAATTTTAAAAATGGTCTTGAAAAGTCGGGATTTAGTCTTTATTTTGGTATCAAAGTCGGGAATTTTCATGATTTCCCTAGACGACGATCACGTGTTCCTTACCACGCAAGACGACGATCATGAAGTTTCCTCGACCGCTGGAGACGATGATGATGTCTACACGGCCGTAGGAGATAATCATGATTTTGCCGCGATAGCGGAGGACGACGATGACGTTTCCGTGACTGCGGGAGTCAATGATGATGTCTACACGGCCGCGGTAGATGTTCACGATTTTGCCACGATCCCGGACGTCGACGATGATGTTTTTGTGACACCGGGAGTCAATGATGATGTCTACACGGCCGTGGGAAATGTTCATAATTTTACCATGATCGCGGACAATAACGGTGACCGCGGCATTCATTGTTGATGTCTACTTGGCCTTGGAAGATGTTCCTGATTTTGGCGTGATTGCGGATGACTACGATGTCGTTTCCGAGACTGCGGGAGACAACAATGACGTTTCCGTGACCGAGGGAGACAGTCAATGATGATGTCTACACAGTCGTGGAAGACTTTCGTGATCCTAAAACACCCAAATTGGCTAGTTAGAATTTTTCATTACTGCATTTTTTTTTTACTTTAGGCATACTAAGGAAAACACCCCTTTATCTTAATAAAACTTAATGACAGAAAGACAGGGGTTGGTGTAGTATAACCAAATTATTTAATACATTTTGTTAAACTATAAGGATTGCTTTCGGTATCAAGAATCGAGAATTGAACCTTTTGGTTTTGATAATCACTAATTAGTTGAAAAAACTAGTCATGAAAAATCTGTAATTAGTCTTGAATTTAAAAATGGAAATAAACTAGTCACCCTGATTATATCTATTATTGCAGAGGAATTAAAACGTTCAAATGAGAATTAAATATTAAGTATGCTCACAACTAAGAATAAAGTCGCAGGGCAAACAACCGTGCAACGTAATAGTGCAAAGAAAACAAAGTCGAAAGAAAGATAAATCGGACGCGTTGCAGAAAGTCAACAGTCCCGGAAGGTCAAATAATTTATACCTGTGCCGCTAGGTCAAAAACTACAATTTTTGCAGTGTCTGTAGATCAAAAATCCCAGAAAGTCAAATAGTACAGTCCGGGCTAAAAGTTTAGTCTATTTTAAAGCAATTGACTTATTGGGAATTTGACTTAATGCAACAGCAGTTTTAATATAACGAAATAAGATAAAATATAAGTTCAGTTTCGCTGAGTCAACAGTGCCGGAAGGTCAAAAGTATAATCTGTTAAAAACAACGATAGTCCTCTCGACGCATGTCTTCAATAATTTCGTGTTTTGGTGTTCTTAAAGTTGTGCTAAAATTTTGAAATTTGGCACAGAGCTTCTTGGTTAGTCCTACTCGATGACTATTTTGTTGGAACTTTAAACTATTTACCGATCTAATTAATAAAAAATGATTTGTATGGTGAAATAGTTTTAAATCGTGATTTCTAACATGAAAAAGTTAGCATGCGAGATTTTTTTTTGTTTTTGGGTTAGAGAGGTTTTGTCTGTGGCAAAGTTGAAGCCAAAAGTGTAATGCGTAAAATATATTTTTTTGGAATTTTTTACAATCAGTGGTTCAGTAGATAACTTGGGTTGAAGAGGACGGCAAATGTAGCATTTCGCAACGCATGGAAAGAACTACATCGTACGATGCGACTGCTGAGTGGACTTTTAATTTATCTAATTTAATTTATCTAAGGACAAGAAAAAGGTGAATATACAGATCACCAGTACATTCATATTATTTATAAAAAATCTTTCTTTATTACCAGCTAACATTTTTCACTTATAAGAATACATCATAAACAGGGTGTTAAAATAAGCGGGGAGATACTTTACCTAGTAATTCCTTGGGTCAAAATAAACAGAAAATCAAGGATAACATTTTTTCCAAAATAATTTCGTTAACCAGATATCCACCATTTTGTATTTTTTACATACAAATATTTATCTTTGCACTTTTCCAACCGATGTTTATCAAACTTGGTATGTATGTTAAGGTAGGAGAGACCCATGTTATAAACAAAGATTCATCTCGATTCACCCTAAAATTTCAAAATTTAACACTTAACTACAATATAATATACTCTACTACACCACAATATTTACGTATCACCATAAATCTTTAACAAAATAAAACGTTAACATTTTTAAAAACCAAAGTAAATCAATATAATATTTTTTTTTTGAAAAATATATTTAAAAAACAGGCGATGGTAAAATAACGACAGGCGAGTTTCGATCTGGGTGTTTCAGGTTTGAATCTAGGAGTATTTAACATTAATTAACATTAATGTTTAATCCTCCTAGGTTTGAACTGATTGAGAGGAATACATGAAACCGAAGGGGGGAGGTAGCAACAAGTGCACTAGTATTTACTAGTGTCCAATTACAATTTGATGGATTTAACCAAAACCTTTTCTATTTCACTTATTTTCAGCTGTTAATACAGATTGTTTAATACTGACATTGCATTATTATATTTTAATTTGAGCCTAATTACGACGGTCTACGTACACGTTATTAGTGATATAGTAACATTGTTTATTATCATATTGTTGTATTACACGAAAGACATTAATTTACGACGATCCTTCGGCTTACATATTATTGGATCATTTGTTTACGTATCACGATTGTAAACGTTGATTGTTGGGGTATAATTTTAGCGATTTAAATATTATACAGAGCACCTACGGTTAGGAACAAACTCCTACAACAGTTTTATTGTTATTTAACATACTAATCAACAATAACGTTTGCCGCCAATTGTATTAAATCTAATATGGGTCCTTGGAAACTATTTTTGTTAGTTTGGATGTACAATCTCTTCCCGATGGTGTAAGTGCTGACTGAGCCAGAAGACAGGCAAAAAACAGCCTTGCAAGAACAACGACTCATCCGTGCCTACCACGACCACTCCCGCCGTTATCACCGTGACACTGGCGTAGGCTACTACATCCAAGGCAATAGTTTTAGCATAGATTTATCATTAACTTTAGATACTGGATGTAGAGATTTCATTTAAGAGAAACAGATAAAGCATTGACTTTGGATACTACAAGTAGTCATCCCATTTATGAGAAACAATTATACAATTGACTTAGTGAACTTGTAGGAGACATCTCAATTACGTGAACTATATTTAGCATTGACTTTGAAAAAGTATTGGATTACAGTACTATGATAGCTCCGTTCAATATTGCAAGCAGACAACTGCATTTTACACCTAGTACACATTAGTACACGCAAAATAATGCAAGGGACCTTGAAAGAAATATTGGCAATGAATTTTTCATAATGGCAGAAAATAATTACAGTACAAAGCACTGTGGTGCATAATCAACACAGTAAATCAATGAAAACAGAAAAAAGTTCAAAATCTACACATTTCTTTCTACATCTATTATTTCTTACTTTACAAAATCACCGAAACCACGCTCTCCTCGTGTAAGTATAGATATATTGTGGGAACTACATCTGAACTAGGTTGAATTAGCATAATAGCGCAAGTTTAAATGAGAACAATTGTATGACTAAAACTAGTAAAAATAATTTATTTGGTAACTGATGACGTTGTTTAGACCTATCAGGAAACTACACTCCTTTACCACGTAAATATCTAACATAGTTTGTACCTCTGTGATTTCGTCTAATCATATTCAGTGATTCATTCTTTACATAGTTTGACTTTTTCGTAGGCCTGGTTGTAATATAGCTTATGTCTGGTTTTACATAGGTGTTGTCGCTGGTTATACAGTAGTACTTGCACATATTCGCGCCTTTTTTAATCCCGCGC